TTAGGTCATCACATCCATGGAACCATATCTCATCCTTGATAAAATGAGCCCAATATACCCTAGGTCATCGAGTTTACTTGATTTAGCTTTTGCTCTTTGAGTCAATAGGGCTGACAACGTAGTCAAGATTGTTCAAAATTTGAGATCAGGGTAGAGTACAGGATACTTAGAACCGTTCGGTTTTGTGACTATGAATAATAAAAGTGCTGTAAAAATATAACTGTGCTTTTACTGTTTACAATCACAAAACGAAATACTTTTTTTGCGTCTAAGCTCTGCCCGTAATAATCTCTCCTTCTCTTAAGCTTATTCTAAACCAATCAGCCAAATATTATTTAGTTAAAAAAGCTCAAAGCAATGAGGAATCTACAAAGACATCAGTAGCTACTCAAAAACATAAATACCAAACTAGCAAAATAGGAAGATGGAACTTAAAACTTCATTATTTGATAATCCATTCTCTTAGACATCCATTCACTTAGACTTCGTTTAAGACAATTTTCTTCCTGCTTTTTAATATAAAAATTTCTTGAAAACAGCTAAAAAAAAATAATGGCGGAACTGTCCCAGAGAAAGGCTAAACTGAACAAACATACATTCAAGATAAAATATCTGTAAAAGAAAGAGATACAGAGCTCACCAGCATCCATCCCTAAGAATTCTGAACCAATTGATCGAGAGAACTAAACTTATCTCTGCACTGGGGACAAAATTCAAAATTTGAGATAGAGAAAGATGAAGAGAAAGGCCCTACAAAGAATCTGAGCTCATCTCCGCTCCTTATCACTTCACTGATCCCAAACCACAAGAAGAAGATTTTCACACTAACCCCATCCAGTTTCTTCAAACTCCTTGGCTCCACCTTGCCGGAGATCTTTCTCCTGTACCTCAACAGGTAACTCCCACTCGCCTTGAGCTCGCAGTAATCACCGAGAAAAACGTCAAAGCTCCCATCACTCCTCAACAAGTAGCTCTGAACTCCCTCAGGCAGAATCCCTTTGGGAAAATCAAACTTTTCGAGCATTTCATAAGCGGTGAGGGAGTTGTAGGATTGGTGATTATCTGCAAAAGCGAAGAGAAGGGGGGAGGAGATAAAGAGAAAACATAGGAGAGTTTGGTCTGTTCTTGAGAAATCCATGGAAAAATTGGATTTTGGAGGCTATGAGAAGAAGGATGAAGGAGATATTAGAGGAGATGAATCCAATGATTTTCTGGTTGAGGTAAATTGAAGAAATGGAAGGAAGGTGATGAGATGGACATTTACAATTGGATGCTATCACCTTCATAATGGCTGGAAAAAGGTGTGTGGGTACGAACTCGCGTCTTTTGTTATAATTGTAGCTAAGGGAAGCTATTGGATGCTCGGATCCACGTGCTGGAAAACAGCTGGTCGGAGCTTCCGAGAAAGTGGGGAAAAAATTGAGCTGGACTCCCAAAAATGTGGTATTTGCTAGCATTTTGGTTGGAATGCATATTTTCAATTAGAAACTAAGGCAATTATATATATATGGTGGGCTTTTTAATGAGGGTGGTTTAGGTTGTAAGAATATTTTGGATATGGTGAAGGCTTTTTCATACAAGTTGTGGTTCTCCTTTAGATCGAAAGCTAGTTTGTGGGCTACTTTTATGTTTAATAAGTACTGTAATAATTGTCATCCCTTGTTTATTCAGTTTAAGAAGACGGAATCTTTGGTTTGGAAAAGATTATGCAACATTGGTTGGCTTGCTGAACCTTTCATCCAATGGGGTTTGGGCAAAGGGGATGTGCATTTTTGGCAGGATAATTGGCTTGGTTTGGGCTCTATTGATAGCATGATGTACTCTCATACTCCTAGTTCTACTAAGGTTAGTTTTTATTTTGATAATAACTGTTGGGATGTGCATAAATTTAGACAAATTTTACCTGACAGTATTCTTAATATGGTCTTAAATATCCCTTTAAATACTTTAGATGAAGATCGTATCCTTTTTAATAGGTCTAATGATGGTTGTTTTAAAATTAAAAAGGTTTGGGACAGTTTTAGGAGTAAAAAGGATACCTCTACTGTCTATGATTACATTTGGCACAATAGTATTCCTTCGACTTACTCTATTCTTACGTGGAGATGTTTGAAAGGCTATTTACCGGTTGACACCCGTCTGTGGATAAAAGGTTTTTATTTGCCTTCTAAATGTTTCTGTTGCTCCAATATTGAGTGTATTAATCATGTGTTTCTTTTTGGCAAGGTTGCTCAAAGTGTGTGGAGGCATTATGCGGGGTTGGTTAATAAACCTTGCCCTGTTTTTGATTCTACTACTAGCAATTGTGTTCAGTCTTTTTTAATGCTTTGGCTGT